GGACTGTAAACAACTTATGTCAGAGTATTGAACAAGTTAGGACTGTAAACAACTTATGTCAGAGTATTGAACATGTTAGGACTGTAAACAACTTATGTCAGAGTATTGAACATGTTAGGACTGTAAACAACTTATGTCAGAGTATTGAACATGTTAGGACTGTAAACAACTTATGTCAGAGTATTGAACATGTTAGGACTGTAAACAACTTACGTCAGAGTATTGAACATGTTAGGACTGTAAACAACTTACGTCAGAGTATTGAACATGTTAGGACTGTAAACAACTTATGTCAGAGTATTGAACATGTTAGGACTGTAAACAACTTATGTCAGAGTATTGAACATGTTAGGACTGTAAACAACTTATGTCAGAGTATTGAACATGTTAGGACTGTAAACAACTTATGTCAGAGTATTGAACATGTTAGGACTGTAAACAACTTATGTCAGAGTATTGAACATGTTAGGACTGTAAACAACTTATGTCAGAGTATTGAACATGTTAGGACTGTAAACAACTTATGTCAGAGTATTGAACATGTTAGGACTGTAAACAACTTATGTCAGAGTATTGAACACGTTAGGACTGTAAACAACTTATGTCAGAGTATTGAACACGTTAGGACTGTAAACAACTTATGTCAGAGTATTGAACATGTTAGGACTGTAAACAACTTATGTCAGAGTATTGAACATGTTAGGACTGACATGTGAGTATGGTTTTACGCCGCATTCAGCAATATTCCAGCAATATTCCAGCAATATCACGGCTTCACACATTGTACCAATGTCGGGAACAGTCAATAGGAGAAGGGGACGATATTGATATTGATGATCTTCCAAGTAATGATTATCTTGATATACCTATTACAGTAGAAGAGATAAGATCACAAACACAAGCCGGCTTCAGAAAAAAACCCATTCAACCATTGATTACATATACGTCCCTATGTCCCTTCTGCATATCTATCAATCATCTGGTAAAAAGTTATTTTGTGCTTTCATTCATATTAGTAAAGCTTCCACCGATATGGAGATCTCGGTGATGGCTTACAATGATTAAAGGTGGTGTTAGTGGGAAATGCTTTAAGTTATTTTACAACCTGTATCAGAACATCAAGTCGTGTGTCATGTATGATAATGACGTAACATCTTTTTTCACATGTAATTTGTCTCCTTTTCTATTTGCGCTTTATATAAATGATATGGAATGTTTTCTAAGAGAAAATGAGGTCAAGGGGTGAATAACTATATCGAGAGTCAAGTGGTGTTCTTATGAAGTAATTCCTGCTTCTTTAAATATGTTTCAGGATGTTTACAATTGTTGGTTTTATCATACATATTTTTTTCAAATTCCATCGACACAAATTGTACTTTCCTTTCTGGAGCTAGCCTACAATACCACGCAGTTTGTCTTCATTGTATCGTACCATCAATGGACTTTGATGAGATTTCTCATGATTATGGAAAGGGTTACGTCGCTTTTATTTAACATGCAAACCTGGCGGTCAACTGGCACCTCGACTATTAAACATGAGACGTCAACGCCAGAGAATAACCAGTCTCTAGTTCCGATGAAACAGATTCCATCGGGCGTTTGAAAATTGTTTGCCTGGATCAGTGAAATTCTGTGATGACATCTGAAGAAATGAAACATCTGAGTGGCAGGGCTTTATAACGCAGACATCAGAACACAACATATTTAGCACTGATCATCTGAGTGGCAGGGCTTTATAACGCAGACATCAGAACACAACATATTTAGCACTGATCATCTGAGTGGCAGGGCTTTATAACGCAGACATCAGAACACAACATATTTAGCACTGATCATCTGAGTGGCAGGGCTTTATAACGCAGACATCAGAACACAACATATTTAGCACTGATCATCTGAGTGGCAGGGCTTTATAACGCAGACATCAGAACACAACATATTTAGCACTGATCATCTGAGTGGCAGGGCTTTATAACGCAGACATCAGAACACAATATATTTGGCACTGATCATCTGAGTGGCAGGGCTTTATAACGCAGACATCAGAACACAACATATTTAGCACTGATCATCTGAGTGGCAGGGCTTTATAACGCAGACATCAGAACACAACATATTTGGCGCTGATCATCTGAGTGGCAGGGCTTTATAACGCAGACATCAGAACACAACATATTTAGCACTGATCATCTGAGTGGCAGGGCTTTATAACGCAGACATCAGAACACAACATATTTAGCACTGATCATCTGAGTGGCAGGGCTTTATAACGCAGACATCAGAACACAATATATTTGGCACTGATCATCTGAGTGGCAGGGCTTTATAACGCAGACATCAGAACACAACATATTTAGCACTGATCATCTGAGTGGCAGGGCTTTATAACGCAGACATCAGAACACAACATATTTGGCGCTGATCATCTGAGTGGCAGGGCTTTATAACGCAGACATCAGAACACAACATATTTAGCACTGATCATCTGAGTGGCAGGGCTTTACAACGCAGACATCAGAACACAGGGCTTTATAACGCAGACAACAGAACACAGGGCTTTATAACGCAGACATCAGAACACAACATATTTAGCACTGATCATCTGAGTGGCAGGGCTTTATAACGCAGACATCAGAACACAGGGCTTTACAATGCAGACATCAGAACACAACATATTTGGCACTGATCATCTGAGTGACAGGGCTTTATAACGCAGACATCAGAACACAGGGCTTTACAACGCAGACATCAGAACACAACATATTTAGCACTGATCATCTGAGTGGCAGGGCTTTATAACGCAGACATCAGAACACAACAATATTTCGCACTGATCATCTGAGTTGTGAATCTGTAATGTCATATGCATGCTGACACTGAACTCCTATAAGTGAATCATATCTTCAAGATGCAGTTTAGAAGGTGTATGGTTTATTCTGCAATAGATAGAAGGCACGGAAAATCATTGACTCTTTAGACAGCTCTCGTGGTGAGGGACTTCAGTCTTACCCCAACATCACATATTACAAGACAGTGAAGTGTATTTCATGCTTGTTTAGAAGTTAACAGTTACACGGTTTGTGACATGACGCACGGACCATGATAACACGTGCTCAGTGGAATAAAGTGCTTGGAGTTTTAATATTTCATAAGAATCTACCAAGAACCTGCCATGGTGCAACTCCATGGCGTTAAGGAGATCATGGATACATGGTTTAACGCGTTCAAATAGTTCACAGGTCGTTATTTCAGGACAGTCTTTGTACACAGCGGATATCCAAACATATCATGGATGACTAATTGCTGGGATCCCCGAGTTTCCTTTATGCCGGGCATTGACTATCTGCCGCGGTATTTCAGGGGAGCCTTACATTGGTTCGCCTTCACTGAACAAGTAGGTCATTGGCAACAAAGCACCGGTATCACTGACGTACAATATGGCGATGAGCAAACAATGACGATATGAAAATTCAAGACAATGTTTCACTTTGTATGAATGCGTGGACACAGCGCTAAACATAATATACCAAGCTTTGGCCATTGGACGGCTATACAGGGTGGACGGCTTCAGGGTGGACGGCTATATAGGGTGGACGGCTTCAGGGTGGACGGCTATACAGGGTTGATGGCTAAACAAGGTGGACAGCTTCAGGGTAGACGGCTATACAGGGTGGACGGCTATACAGGGTTGATGGCTATACAGGGTAGACGGCTATACAGGGTGGACGGCTATACAGGGTGGACGGCTTCAGGGTGGACGGCTATGCAGGGTGGACGGCTTTATAGGGTGGACGGCTAAACAGGGTGGACAGCTTCAGGGTAGACGGCTATACAGGACAGATGGCTATACAGGGTGGACGGCTATACTGGGTGGACGGCTATACTGGGTAGACGGCAATACTGGGTGGACAGCCTCAGGGTAGACGGCTATACTGGTGGACGGCTATACAGGGTGGACGGCTATACTGGGTAGACGGCTGTACAGGGTAGACGGCTATACAGGACGGATAGCTACACAGGGTGGACATCCTCAGGGTAGACGGCTATACTGGGTGGACATCCTCAGGGTAGACGGCTATACTAGTGGACGGCTATACTGGGTGGACGGCTATACTGTGTAGACGGCTATACTGGGTTGCGGCTATACAGGGTGGACGGCTACAGAGGGTGGACATCCTCAGGGTAGACGGCTATACTGGTGGACGGCTATACTGGGTGGACGGCTATACTGGGTAGACGGCTATACTGGGTTGCGGCTATACTGGGTAGACGGCTATACTGGGTGGACGGCTATACTGGGTTGCGGCTATACTGGGTAGACGGCTACACAGGATGGACGGCCATACAATCTGGACCGCTATACAGGGTAGACGGCTGCAGGGTGTAAATGTAAATAGTGACACAAACATAAAATCACACTGGTTTTCCTTGTGGTATTCCTACAGGTACTTCTGTCAGAGAAGAGGAATGTATTGCAAACTCAATGGGAGCGACAGATCAATCAGGCAACACGAATCATTGCACACGGTAAAGGTGATCATTACTTGAGAAACTAGTGAAGATGATCTGCCTCACCGTTAACAATCAACCAGGTCTAGGTATATGAGGTGTAGTTAATGATAATGTATATTGATAATGGACGTAAAGATATGTTTACATAATGCCACATATCATTATGGCAAGAAGAATTTCGGATAACATTACGTGAAATAACATAACTGAAAATGGCTTCATTTGCTGGAGCCTGAAGTCCAAGACACATGGGTTTACTCCTGATCATAGTACAAGCCTGTGGCTGGATGCGTTACAGCGACCGTCCTGGTGCTATTATAATATGAAACACCCCGACACACGCATTGCATACAGGTACCTAATGCCGACGTCTCGCCGAGGTTGATCCATTCACCAGCGGCGCGCGAGTGGCTCCGTGGAATTTAAAATGTCGACTTCAATGATCACCCTTCCACCCAATCAAACAACATCACACATCGTACACTTACTTGTATCGCTGTCCACACAAGGTATAAATCCTGTCCGTTGCGGAGAAGCTGTGTGCTACACACCACTAGGAAATGAACTGACGGTTCAGTCCAGCGAGACGAGGCTGTTGACTCAGATTCCAGCCTCGACCTCACTGCCGTGGAAACACTCCCCACGTGGAACACCTGCAGCCTGCTCTGTGATTCCAGGCCGGCATGTCGAGACCTGCCCAGCGTCCTTCGCCTTCATGTCTTATAGAGACCGACCATTAATATTCTGTTGAAGTGTGGAGCTGCCATGTTTTCGGCGACCTCATCAATATGGACGTACAATGGTTTCTGTCAAAGCAGGAGCCGGATAATGTCCTTGATAAGACAGCGTCCCCAGCAACTGTTTGTTTTGTTGGTAATTGAGGCCAAATATATTTCTTCTGTATTTCCTGGATTTCAGTTGCAACCTTGTGGGTCGTCTTGTCTGTGGCACATAACACAAGTGGAGAGAAGGTAACCGAAACCGACATATTGATTAAGTGGGATGTTTCTACACTCATTCATCACTGGTGGCCTAGTGGACAGGGCGTCTACCCGCGGAGTGCATGGTCGATGCGATGAGGGTCACGTCTGAATGACTGAAAAGAACCTTCTTGTGTTTGTAGAGAATGATAGGTCAACCAGGCGTGTAGGTGGATTTACAACAGGTTAATAAACACAGACAATGAACTCTGCGACTGAAGTGTTACCAGACCTTACACATCGTGACCGCCTCCGTGGCCTAGTGGTAGAGCGGTCGCCCGGAGGGCGGAAGGTACGGGGTTCGATCCCCGGCCGCGTCATACCAAAAGACGTTAATGCGCTCTGAATGGTAACTGATGTTACTTCGTATGGCCCTAGGCATTGAGGGGCTGCTCGGAGTCAGTACACTGTGTCTGAGTGGGGCATTCATGTTAAACTGCGGCGTGGTATCTCAGTTGGCTAGCACTATTAATCGACATCAGTACAAGTACAAGACTAGTACAAGCAGCCACACATATACACGTGCATGCACGTCGCTATATAAGTGCAATAATCTTGGACGCGACGTTAAATCCCCTTTCACCTCACTTCGCGTTACACATTGTACCCGTGTACCCAAGCATGGTGCTCAGTATCCTTGTAGCCACGCAGCTAAGTACAAACACCTACCTCCAGGTACATGTAATCATGTCATGTGCACGTGTATCTGATCAGGAACAAGACGTCCAATCTCTTCCATGAGCCCTGTGCAGCCTGAACTGTTTACTAGCTAAAGATATAGACATACAGAAGGGTTAGAAGTTTTTACTAGCTACAGATATAGACATACAGAAGGGTTAGAAGTGTTTACTAGCTACAGATATAGACATACAGAAGGGTTAGAACTGTTTACTAGCTAAAGATATAGACATACAGAAGGGTTAGAAGTGTTTACTAGCTACAGATATAGACATACAGAAGGGTTAGAACTGTTTACTAGCTAAAGATATAGACATACAGAAGGGTTAGAACTGTTTACTAGCTAAAGATATAGACATACAGAAGGGTTAGAAGTGTTTACTGGCTATAGATATAGACATACAGAAGGGTTAGAAGTGTTTACTAGCTACAGATATAGACATACAGAAGGGTTAGAAGTGTTTACTAGCTACAGATATAGACATACAGAAGGGTTAGAAGTGTTTACTAGCTACAGATAAAGACATACAGAAGGGTTAGAACTGTTTACTAGCTAAAGATATAGACATACAGAAGGGTTAGAAGTGTTTACTAGCTACAGATATAGACATACAGAAGGGTTAGAACTGTTTACTAGCTAAAGATATAGACATACAGAAGGGTTAGAACTGTTTACTAGCTAAAGATATAGACATACAGAAGGGTTAGAAGTGTTTACTGGCTATAGATATAGACATACAGAAGGGTTAGAAGTGTTTACTAGCTACAGATATAGACATACAGAAGGGTTAGAAGTGTTTACTAGCTACAGATATAGACATACAGAAGGGTTAGAACTGTTTACTAGCTAAAGATAAAGACATACAGAAGGGTTAGAACTGTTTACTAGCTAAAGATATAGACATACAGAAGGGTTAGAAGTGTTTACTAGCTACAGATATAGACATACAGAAGGGTTAGAACTGTTTACTAGCTACATATATAGACATACAGAAGGGTTAGAACTGTTTACTAGCTAAAGATATAGACATACAGAAGGGTTAGAAGTGTTTACTGGCTATAGATATAGACATACAGAAGGGTTAGAAGTGTTTACTGGCTATAGATATAGACATACAGAAGGGTTAGAAGTGTTTACTAGCTACAGATATAGACATACAGAAGGGTTAGAAGTGTTTACTATCTACAGATATAGACATACAGAAGGGTTAGAAGTGTTTACTAGCTACAGATATAGACATACAGAAGGGTAAGAAGTGTTTACTGGCTACAGATATAGACATACAGAAGGGTTAGAACTGTTTACTAGCTACAGATATAGACATACAGAAGGGTTAGAAGTGTTTACTGGCTACAGATATAGACATACAGAAGGGTTTGAAGTGTTTACTAGCTAAAGATATAGACATACAGAAGGGTTAGAAGTATTTACTGGCTACAGATATAGACATACAGAAGGGTTAGAAGTGTTAACTAGCTACAGATATAGACATACAGAAGGGTTAGAAGTGTTTACTAGCTAAAGATATAGACATACAGAAGGGTTAGAAGTATTTACTGGCTACAGATATAGACATACAGAAGGGTTAGAACTGTTAACTAGCTACAGATATAGACATACAGAAGGGTTAGAAGTATTTACTGGCTACATATATAGACATACAAAAGGGTTAGAAGTGTTTACTAGCTACAGATATAGACATACAGAAGGGTCAGAAGAGTTTACTAGCTACAGATATAGACATACAGAAGGGTAAGAAGTGTTAACTAGCTACAGATATAGACATACAGAAGGGTTAGAAGTGTTTACTATCTACAGATATAGACATAATGAAGGGTAAGAAGTGTTTACTAGCTACAGATATAGACATACAGAAGGGTTAGAAGGGCTTACTAGCTACAGATATAGACATACAGAAGGGTCAGAAGTGTTTACTAGCTACAGATATAGACATATAGAAGGGTTAGAAGTGTTAACTAGCTACAGATATAGACATACAGAAGGGTTAGAAGTGTTTACTATCTACAGATATAGACATACAGAAGGGTAAGAAGTGTTTACTAGCTACAGATATAGACATACAGAAGGGTTGGAACTGTTTACTAGCTACAGATATAGACATACGGAAGGGTTAGAAGTATTTACTGGCTACAGATATAGACATACAGAAGGGTTAGAAGTGTTTAATATCTACAGATAGAGACATACAGAAGGGTTAGAAGTGTTTTCTAGCTACAGCTATAGACATACAGAAGGGTTAGAAGTGTTTACTAGCTACAGATATAGACATACAGAAAGGTTAGAAGGGTTTACTAGCTACAGATATAGACATACAGAAGGGTTAGAAGTGTTTACTGGCTACAGATATAGACATACAGAAGGGTAAAAAGGGTTTACTAGCTACAGATATAGACATACAGAAGGGTTAGAAGTGTTTACTGGCTACAGATATAGACATACAGAAGGGTTAGAAGTGTTTACTAGCTACATATATAGACATACAGAAGGGTAAGAAGTGTTTACTAGTTACAGATATAAACATACAGAAGGGTTAGAAGTGTTTACTGGCTAACGATATAGACATACAGTAGAGTCAGAAGTGTTTACTGGCTACAGATATAGACACACGGAAGGGTCAGAAGGGTTTACTATCTATAAATATAGACATACAGAAGGGTTGGAAGTGTTTACTATCTACAGATATAGACATACAGAAGGGTTAGAAGTGTTTACTAGCTACAGATATAGACATACAGAAGGGTAAGAAGTGTTTACTAGCTAAAGATATAGACATACAGAAGGGTTAGAAGTGTTTACTAGCTACAGATATTGATATACAGAAGGGTTAGAATTGTTTACTGGCTACAGATATAGACATACAGAAGGGTCAGAAGTGTTTACTGGCTATAGATATAGACATACAGAAGTGTTAGAAGTGTTTACTGGCTATAGATATAGACATACAGAAAGGTTAGAAGTGTTTACTAGCTACAGATATAGACATACAGAAGGGTTAGAAGTGTTTACTAGCTACAGATATAGACATACAGAAGGGTCAGAAGTGTTTACTAGCTACAGATATAGACATACAGAAGGGTTAGAAGTGTTTACTGGTCTACAGATATAGACATACAGAAGGGTTAGAAGTGTTTACTAGCTACAGATATTGATATACAGAAGGGTTAGAATTGTTTACTGGCTACAGATATAGACATACAGAAGGGTCAGAAGTGTTTACTGGCTATAGATATAGACATACAGAAGTGTTAGAAGTGTTTACTGGCTATAGATATAGACATACAGAAAGGTTAGAAGTGTTTACTAGCTACAGATATAGACATACAGAAGGGTTAGAAGTGTTTACTAGCTACAGATATAGACATACAGAAGGGTCAGAAGTGTTTACTGGCTATAGATATAGACATACAGAAAGGTTAGAAGTGTTTACTAGCTACATATATAGACATACAGAAGGGTTAGAAGTGTTTACTAGCTACAGATATAGACATACAGAAGGGTCAGAAGTGTTTACTATCTACAGATATAGACATACAGAAGGGTTAGAACTGTTTACTAGCTACAGATATAGACATACAGAAGGGTTAGAAGTGTTTACTGGTCTACAGATATAGACATACAGAAGGGTTAGAAGTGTTTACTAGCTACATATATAGACATACAGAAGGTTTAGAAGGGTTTACTGGCCTACAGATATAGACATACAGAAGGGTTAGAAGTGTTTACTGGCTACAGATATAGACATACAGAAGGGTTAGAAGGGTTTACTGGCTACAGGTATAGACATACAGAAGGGTTAGAGAGAGAGAGAGAGAGAGAGAGAGAGAGAGAGAGAGAGAGAGAGAGAGAGAGAGAG